TTCCACATTATCAATTTATAGCGGGGATTAAATTCTGCAGTACTTGTGCTTCAGCTTGTCTACTGCCTGGTATATCATACCTGATGTAAAACAATTTGTTGTTGCTGTAAGTGACCTATGGTAAAGTGATGAACCTCTCTATGGGTAATAAGGTCCATCATGTTAGTTTATTTATAGGCCTCCTCAGTACTCAGCAATATCACTACATTGTGCTGAATTATGTACATTTTTAACCATGAGGGAACTACCTGGCACAATAACTTCATTAGTCTCTAACATAAGACACAAGGAAAAGGTCACCTGACTTATTATTCCTTTACATCTAAATCACAGTAGTTTGCTAATAAAACAAAATAAAACCCCAAATGAATCTTATTAGATTTTATATGCTACTATTTTTATTGGGTTTTTTTTCCAATTAGTCTCCCAGCTGGGCTTCTTTAATATTTCAGGAGGCGTAATCCACATTTTTAAAAATTATTATAAGAATTGTTTTCATGTAAAATGTTTCCTGTTTCTCTACATTTGTCCAAGCAATATATTTACATATTAGTGATCTGCTAAAATATTAAGTCTTGGACACCTCACTATTACAGCCTTTTAAAAATCATTACACCTTCCTATTTCATATATACTACAGCTTCATACCTCTAAGAGGAAACCAGAATGAAAACACAGATCATAGGCTCTGAAAAGTTGCTGACAAAGTTCCAGTAAGTTTTTTCCAACTTCATCTCTGACTAAGCAATGGTGCTACCATAACAAATGCCATAACAAATATATATTATACATCTCTTATCCTCTCTTGTAAGGATGCTACTATCAGGGTGGCCAAATTAGTTCTGTTTAATTTAATCATGTCCTGGTCTGTAATAGGAATAAGAGTAGGAGAAAAAGCACAGAGGTGTTTAAGGGAGAAACTAGATGATGGGCATGTGCACATGTTCCCGGGACCTGATCTACACTTGTGCACTTTTGCTGGTGCTCAGAGTTGACCAGAAATGCAATTTAACTAAGTCAAGGTGGTGGGATGGAGGGGGTGGGAGGTGGTAAGTGGTAGGATGGAGGGGTTGGGAGGCTGGTCATTTTTTGCCCGATCTAAACTTCCTGAACTTATGTACAGTTTGTACATAAGTACAGTTTGGCACTGTACACAAATTGTACATAAGGAAGAGAATAGGAGAAAGAATAGAGGTGTTTAAAGGGAAAACTAGATGGTAAAGTCTAGGATTGCTGGTGGAACAAAGCTAGGGATCAATGCCAAATAGGTTATTTGCCCAGCTATGTAGCCTGGATTTAAGTCATGAAGGGACATAAACGTCAAAGCATGTAGCTTGTATTTGATGTGCCAATGAAGGAAGAGCCAAAAAAGGGACTTATAGGGGAGATATGGTCAGAGTGGTGAGCTAGTAATCTGCTAATAGCAAGAACATTCTGAATAGCCTGGGGGAAGCCAAATTTATTGTAGTTAAAGCTATTAAAGTTATCAGTATTCAGGATATGAAATGATTAAGGTTCAATAGTTCTGGATTTGAGGTATGCTGAAATGGTCTAATTTCCCAGTAATATCAGTGGAAGTCTTACCACCTTGCAGAAAAGCCCTGAGCACTCTCTGGACTGGGCACTTTGTGAAAATCATATCCAAGCTCATTAGAAGAAAGCTATAGGCATGAAACCAACACCTAAAATTCTCAGAACAGTTATGTGGCCTGATGTAAAGGTGAGAAGAGGAACACCAATTGATGTAAATGGTTTGGGGTACTTTTTATCCAAACAGTTTTTCAAACATGAAATCTATTGAAAGTAAGTCAGGGGATAAATTGTATGCACCAGGTCCTTTGATGCTTTGGTCAGGGGTGCAGTTAGTGAAAGAAGTGTCCTATGGACTGAGCTGGGGAAATAATACTAAAAATATTTTGACATATTTCCTGAATGCTTGGACAGCATTACAGTTACTGTTATGTTTGAGAAGGCACAATGGCTTTTCTACTTTCATTTGCGCATTAAAAAATTTGATACCTCAAAACCACAGCACCACATGACTAGTCAGTCTTGTTTCTATTCACTCTGCTCTGTGCATGGATCTTTATCACTGGTAGATGAGTCTTTTCTAAATCATACAAATGTGAGGAAGCAAAACCATTCTGACCAAGTGCAGATTTTCTCAACCATTTCTATCTATATAAGCTGGACAAAGGCTTGGGTGGTTTGTGGGGAAAGGCCTTTTAAGCTACTTCAGAAGTGAATAGGTGCTTCAGCTGCTACCTAGCTCATGGTTGGACTGCCTATCTAGTTGAATAAAAAACAGCCCCTGGGGCTGACTCTTGCGCTTTAACACTCCTTTAAATATATTTGACTTTAGGTATACAGTAAATGAAATTTGCATATTAAACACCAAAAATAACTTAAACATTACAGGAATGCAGTGTAAATTTGCTGCATTAGTATATACGGAGAACAGTAATCTGGTAATGAAAGGAGAAAAACAATGTAATGTGTAGTAATGTATTCACAAATTCAGTTCAGTTGGGTGGGCGTTATTATTTAGGTAGCTATACAGAATAGTTATATTGGTAATCCTGGGGTTTTTTAGCTGAATATTTTATGTATGGCACAGTAAGGTGCATTTAATCTGTTAACAGATCTCTAGACAACAGATGTATACACATATGAAAGCAAAACTTTGTCCTAAGTGATTGCTCATTGCCCAATACACATTGTCCAGTGTCTCAGCAGACAGAACATAGATTCCATTCCAGCCCATTACAAACTCTTCTAACCCAACCATTGCACATATTTATATGTATTTCCTTTTCTCTTTTAATACCTCAGAAATGTTATCAACCTATCAACTGCACCCACTAAACAAATAACATGAAATTAAGTCTAATTTTGAAGGTAGATAAGGGATGAAAATCAGAAAAAGTTGTGTTTTGTAGTCATCACCATAATGAAGTAGTGATTCCTACAAGATCCACAGGGTTCTGGAACTTCAACAACGGATGCATTAGAAAGAAAACTTTGTGTTGCATATGCTCACTTTATCCAGCATCACTCAAATTTCTCTGAAATATGAACTCCTAAAAATTGTCTAGCTACATCGTTGTACAAAATACAACATGTTCCTCTTTCTTCTTTTAAAAGATTAATACTTCTTGTAGTTGTTATCGGCGCGTATAGGTTAAAATACTGTTACTTATTTGTACTCTGTGCCTTTTTAGGGGACTTCCAATAATTCAATTTACCATTTCTGAGACTAAATTTTTACTAGATTCAGATTTCTACTTGTATCTCAATTTCTGGCTTGCAAAAACACTATGAAAAGTCATAATTAATGATAAACAAAGAGATCTTCAACTTGTTTCCTTCTGAAGAATCCAGATTCACATTCCTACTGCAAAAACTTCTTCCAGCACTTTTTGCAGAAATCTCACAGCTACAGAGTAACCCCCTCATATTTGCAGTAATCATTTTATTTCTTCACAGTAGACCTTGTCCCTGAACTATTGTGAGATGAGAAGAATGTGCAGTTCAGGGGCCCGTAGAAGTCCCATATGAATTTCACATGCAGTTAGCATCTCCCTGAAGCCTGCAAAAGGAGACCTCTCAAAAGGAGGTTGATGAATGTGAGAAACATTGTAGTTAGGTAATTCATTACACAAGCAATGTACATAGTTGATATCTTGGCAAAACTGACTGGCTGAAGAAATTAGTTCATACACTTAAATTAAATATGTTTAAATGAAATCTTTAACAGTTGCATAATTTGCATTTCAATATTTGCTATATCCATCAGCACAGAGCAGTTCTTGTCAAACATTTCAAATGGCAGTATGTGGAGGTGAGGAATGAGATAGGAGGTTGGAGAGAGAGACCCAGCAATAACCCATTTCTGTCACTCACTTCACCAGAAGTGGAGAGCACAATCAGGAAGCAGGATCCTGGGCACCACTTCTGGAGGAGCTGCTTCCTCTGCATTGGTGCTTGGGGAACCCAGGAAGCTACTCCCAGCTCCAAAAAGGGGTCATCTGGGAGAGTCCGGAGTGCTGAAGGGGAAGGGATGCCAACTGGACTCTCCACTCAGAAGATGCATCTGATCAGCTACAGCAGAGAGCAGCCAGCTGGATGTGCTGGTGATCAGAGGTTCGTTGTGTGAAGTCGATGCCAAGCCAGCTTCCCTGCCATGACCACTGGGACTACTGGGGCCAATACCTACTGAAGGAGAATATGGTCAGATGTGGCTGGGAAGGGGCAGGGGGGACCCCAGCAGAGAAATGGCCCTGGAGGTTTTTTTCCCTTTTCCTCCCCACCCCTTGCCAAAGGACTGCAGAAAAGCCTCACTTCTAGAGGCCAGTAAGCAGTTAAGAGGGAGCAGCCCAAACAGGGTTAGCCTTCCTTGGGGAGAACTGTGGTTCTAGCTGTGAGGGAAATGCTTGTGGCAACTTTATGAGCCTGGGACACAAGACCCTGGGACCCAGGTCAGAAAAAGTCCATTCCCAGCATGACGGCAGGTCCAGATCCATAGAGAGGCTCTGGCTGCTGTTGGACTGTTTGTTTTGAATTGTATCATTTATTTTGGTTTTTTACCCCTGGGGACTCAAGACTATTGGGTATTGGGACCTGGTAGCTGAACCAGATGAGACAGAGCCCAGAGTTGGGGAAGACTTATCTTGGCATTATAGCCCTGGAGTGTCTTAGATGGCCAGTCCGTGCTTTGCATGAGTAAAGGGAATTGAGATGAATCCTGATACAGAGGGATATGAGGGTTGAGAAGATTATGGTTGAGGAGAGTTTCACATCCCCATCCTTCCCTTCAAGGGAATTTAAAAATCAGGTTAACATCAAAGGAAGTGGTTAGGGTAGGGTGCAGGGGAGGCAGAGCCCCATGAAAAGACCAAGGTCATTGGTCTAGAGTGTCACTTATAAAATGGGAACTGGCTCCCAACAAAAGATAATATCAAAGTCATGGCAGGGAAGAGGGTAATCAGAGAACATCTCAGTAATACTCTCCTATGACAGCACCCTGTCATTGCCTATTAGAAGGACATCCAGTTGGAAGTGGCCTAGGCCTTATAATACCTACCAGTGACAAAGTAGCACAACTATGGTATGCAGGCACCTACCCTGGGTGCCAACTAAGGAGGCACCAGGATCCATCCCACTGTCTTTTCTATTACAAAATGTCAGTACTGTCCCTGGCCATAGGAGCCAGGTAAGGCAATGCTGCAACAGATAGTCAATTAGTTAATCTGAGGGGCAGGGGGAAGGATAAATAAAACAAGTAGAATGGTACTCCCCTCCTTCCTCCTCTCCCCACCCCACCAGGAGCATTTGAAGAAGTAGGGAAAACCCATTAGGAGCTGGGTAGGGCAGGACAGTACTGCACCAAACAGTGTATCTGGGGAACAGTGGGAAAGTGTGATGAGCAAAATGGTGCTCCTTCTCCCCATCAGAGGCACTCAATGAGTGCTCTACACCACTGTCAGATGGAATACCATGCATTTTGTTGTTACTTATACCCAGCTTCCATCCCATATCCATGGATCCCAAATCACACAATGATAATGAATGTCTATAAGCTTAAGTGACAAAATGATCCTGCTATTGTGCCCAGTATGGAGATAAAGAGGTAAGAAGAGGGAGAGTATATAAGGTTATAGTTAAATTGTTAGCTTAAAGAACAGCTGACAAAGAATCAGAAAGAAATGATGTCCTGTTACCACTGTGAGCGATGCAGATTCTATAGATCAGAATCTAGGGAGGAAACTAGAAAGGTGTGCCTAAGATTGCGTTAGGAAGAAGTGGACAATAACACTGGGGTGAGCAATTTTGGCTGAGTGAAGTGGGTGCAGTCCAGACTGGAGGGGTTTCACTGAAAAACTGTTCAATGAAAGAAGGTGAAAGTGATTATAAGAAATAAGATGAAATATTAATTGGAGAGACATTTTTTATGATCAAAGGTTTATTGACAAATTTGGGAAACATGAGGATGGGAGAAATTAGAGTATTTGTGTTCTTGTTAGAAAAGATAGAGAATGAAGTGTGAAAGATAAAGAGCAAAGTAAAGGAAGGAGACAAAGGCAGACTGAAAGTTAAAAGCTATGAGGGGAAGGGGAAAAGGAACAGATGGATTAAAAACGAAATAATGAGCATGAGTTCCTGGGCATAATGACAGGGTAAAAGAATATAAAAGTGCCAGAGAGGAAGAATGAGTAAACTAATTAGAGGAAAAGAAGAATAAAATGAGGAAGTAATATAAGCACAATGGAAACAGATTTGAGGGGGGAGTTCTGGATGTTAGATAAACAATATGAACCCAGTATAACCAGAAAATCAGAGATTTCTGCATCTTGTTCTGTTCTGCCCATCTATGATTTTTTTAAAAGACCATAGGCATTTACTTCCCCAGACTGGACAAGGCAAGGACCTTAGATATTGCAATCAAGTTTAGTACACATATTTTCTTCTGATGGTAATTGTGTATCTTTTGAAGCAAGCTTAAAAATACAATATTAAACACACATGCACACACATGTACCTTTATGTAGAAATAGCCATTTCCCTTGCAGATATCCAGTGTCCAGGGACATTTTAGAACATTTTTCAAAATCCCTTTTACAAAGGAAAAAAAAAACCCTTTAAATACTTTTTTGAAAAGAAATTCAGCCTTCCTAAAACCCAATAAGCTACAGTTTTAATACTTATTTTATAATTATTTTCTCATTCAAACCATGCCTTCAACTGCTCACATTTCTAAATCCTTAGTTTACCATTAAAAACTAAAGAAAATAACATCTTTCCTGAGATTAACAAAATTATGTTTCTGTTTGTGCTTAGGAGTAAATCAAGATGCATGTGCTTTTGATTGTGGGAATGATGGGAATTATTCTCAGCATTGAAGAGATATAAAATTAATGGAAGACTAACAATTCTTTTATTCATACAACTACTGCATTGGATGGAATGCCTTTGGCTTCAGATTGGGTCACAGGCTCCCCAAATTTCTTGCTATGCTTTTGTATGGTATTCAGCATATTAGAGAATCTAGGATGTACCTCAGTATAAATAATAATATAGTTTCAAAATGTAGTGACAGTGACTTAGTTAGTTCCCATGACCCATACCATGAGTTCAAAATGCACGTTCTAAAATTCTAGTTTGGTCATCAGATGCATAGAGGCATCACATTTACTTTCTCTGTTTTAAAACAAACATTTTTTTCTGTCCATCTGTCTCTCTCTGTTCTTTACTTACCAAGGATCTTTGTCTCCAGCTACGTAATGAAAACAAATCAAAATAAACCCTTAAGTACATTTTCTTGCAACCACAATGAATGACTTGGTTTCAACCACTCTTTTTCTTTCTTGAGAGCTCCAGCATGAAGGATGACAAATCATCTCAAATAATACTTAATCTTTAAAAAGTATTTACAACAAATCAATGCCCTCTAGAATAAAAGAGAGTATTTAACGTGGCAGACCATGATGCAGGGGAAGCAATAAAAGGGAAACGCAGCTTGAATTGCAATATTGCTGGATAACTTACATCTCCCTGCTGAAGGCAGCAGACTTGCAGTTACTGAACTGCTAATCTGTTCTACTGTTTTTTAATCAGATGTTGGCATTATCTGCCACTAATTGCTTTTTCATTTCCACTTGTAATTATTCCATTGCATGTTTGTGGTGAGAAGCTGAAAATGAAGCAGATCACCAAGAAAGAATTAATTGTTAATGAATAATTATCAGTAGGAAGCCAATTTCATTATCTTCAAAGAGGTAGCCAGAGATTAACTACTAACTGAGGTTCTCCTACTTTCTGTGCATGACTGTAAAGTAATCACAAATAATCACACCCTCCAACTTCATCAATTATTTTCTATTATGTGAATTGATACCCATTTTTGTCTTTGTTGTTTAATGTTAATGGTAGTATTCATGCTGGGGAGTGCTAATTGTAAGGTGTTACATTCAGTGGGTTTTAGGCCTAATTATTAGAGCATCTTCTTCATTAGCGTATGATCCTACGAGGGTTTCATGGTGGGAGTTACTAAATTTACCATGATGTATGAATGTTATCTTTATTAACGAATTTTAGGTATGTTAGATGACTGGTTAAAATATAATGAGGTATGCAGAAAGCTTTATCAACAATAAAACAAACATATCCATATCTCTTTTTAAAACTCACCATCATTAGTTGTCTGGTGAGGAATTCTTCTTAAATCAACAGACTGAAAATAAAAGCACTACATGGGTCTTAAACAGTAAGTATAATAAAAAGGCCCAAATAATCTCTTATATACAAAAGAGAAGCACCAAAACAAAACATCTGTCTCATCATTATTGCACAGATTTTGGATCCACTGAGAATTTGTTGACTGCCAAAGCTTTTCACTTCTGCTTTGGTACTGATTTTTTGTTCAGTCTGTTGAGTTACCAAAGGTAGCTCTAAAGAATCGCTAAAGTAAGACTTTTGATTAAGTCATCATTATCATCACAATTAATTGTTTTCACTAAACCAGTTAAAATAGCTATCATTAAGGAATATATGTTGACTGGAGGACTGGTTTAATTTGTATAAAGGCAAAGTCTAACTGAACACTGTGGAGATATCAGATTGCCCATGCCATGGATATACAAGAGGATGACACATTTGCAATGAACTAGGACAAGTGGAACAACAAGGACGAAGACAAGTGTAAAGTCTTGCATTTGGGATGGAATAATTGCAGACTGGGACATGACTGACTAGATTGCAGTATTGCAGTACCTGGGGATTACAGACAAGAAGCTGAATATGAGCCAACAGTGTGCTTTAATTGCAAAGAAGAAACCAAAACCAAAAGCATGCCAGGTTGTATTAACAGGAACATCATTTGTAAATCCAGGGAAGTAATTCCTCTGCTCTATTCAGCACTTGCGAGGCCTCACTAAAGTATTGTGTCCAGTTTATGGCTTTACACTTCAAGAACAATGTGGACAGATTAGAAAGAGTCCAGAGAGGAGCAGTAAAAATGATTAGAGGCCTGGGAAGAATGATTTATGAGGAAAGGGGAAAAGAGCTAAGGTTACTTATTATGAAGAAAAGAAGACTGGGGTGGGGAATTTGGTAACAGTCTTCAAATATTTGAAAGGCAATTATAAAGAAGATGAGCTTTTCTCTATGGTCATAGAAGACAAGACTAGGAGCAAGGGACTTAAGCTGCAGCAGAGGAAATCTATGTTAGAGAAGGAACTTTCTGACTATGAGGGTGGTCCAGTATTGGCAAAGACTACCTAAAGCAGTTGTGGAATCTCCATTCTTGAAAAAAAATTGAGAGAAGGTTGGACAGAAACTTGGTAGGGATGGTTTTTTCAGCCTTGAGCAGGGGGCTAGACTAGATGACCTTGCAAAGGTCCCTTCCAGCCCTGCTTTCCTATGATTCTATGAACTGCTCAATTTCATTCAAACATAAGACTCTGATTAAGCATACACTAGGCATTTCCCTTTGAACCTAAATGCAAGTAAGTTAGTCTGTACACTATTTCTGTCTATGAAACTAGGTTCATTAGAAAAATTTAATTTTTTTTTAATAAAAAACAAAGTAATCCTAGTGTATGAAAATGTATTAAAAAAAAAATATTGCAATCAGCTCTAGCTGATACAGTGAATTTTATCATTGATACCCAAGATAAATGTCCATAAGCATTATGGCTGTCAGGGCACTACGGCAGAGCTACGCTAATTAACATGGCCATAAACAGGCCACAGCCATAAACAGTTAACATGCAATAAACAGTTTTATGTATACATTGTTCCTTGATTAAATTCATGAAAGGGTTTTGGTGACTATATGAGGACTACAAATTACACATTGCAACCACTCAAGCAACAACACTTCTCTTCACCTATGTACTTAGTCCCAATAGTTCCAACCCCACTGAAAATAAATCCCTTGCTAATTAAAAGCAGATTAAAACAGAGACATTTAGCACTTCATAGATAAACCTGCCAAAATCAGAATTGGCATGCTATAAGTGAGAACTGCTTCCAGAGATGGGGGCCATCCACCAGAAAGCCCTGTTTGTTGAAGCTCTTATTAAAGGATACACAGGAAGACCCAGAAAGATCTCTACAATCAACAAGACTATGTATGGTATAGACAGCTCCAAAGACATATGAATCTAGTGCAGATCTCAAAAACATACAGATGGAAAATTATCCCTTTTAGAAATGAGTAGCTACATTGAAAGAATCCATGTAATATTCCAAAATATAAGGCTAGTGTTTCCTACTTTCCCTAAAATGGATTATGATAATTTAGTTTAAAAATGTGAATGAGATGAATAAATGTAATGAAGTCAGATTTCACCCAGCCAAATTGCTTAGAATTTGCATTGGATTCTCACAGACTCCTGAAAATCTGAAAACTAGCATTTAATTCAATAAAGGCCTGCCAAACCAAGTGGCTTCTACTGAGGGAGCAGTTCCCACCTGATAGATCTTGCAGTGGTCCTTTCTTCTACTTTTGTCTTAACTGTTCATAATTTAAGATGATCCAATGATCATCCAATGATCTTTCTTTTCCAGGAACTACAAAAGCAAGGAAATGACACTATTGGGGGCTGGAGGAAAATTAAATCCACAGCAATTTTGTCCATGGGACCTCCTGGAAGACTCACTTGTATACTGAAGAAGAAGAGTGAAAAGATGGAAACTTGAACACCTAGAGACATCATTCCAGAAAAACAAACCCATCTCACCTTCTAGCCATCTTTACCTTTCTTTTGGAAAGAAATTAGTGGAACAACGCTTAAATAATCCTGTACACTCCTGACAGACCCTGTCATAGTCATTTATTGCCATATCCACAAGGCAATTTTGCCTCTATGTTACACACTGTTAAAAACAACACAATTTACATAGATATCTGACTTCTATATTTTGCCAGGAAGAATTATAAGTTAAAATAGTTTGTGAGTGTTGTCTTTCCATCAAATCTAGAGCAATAAAGATCCAAGAATTTAAAATTGGATTTGAATGGTCCAGCTATTATGTCTTTACAACTTGATTATGTCTTTGCAATGAAAAGCATTTCCATGTTTTAAGGTAAACCAGCAAATTGTCCTCATAAAGGGGGCAACCATCATCACTAATGAACCCAAACTGTCTTCCATAGCTTTCACCAACAATAAGAGACTAGAATCTCTCTCGCAGTAAGTTGAGTTGGATCCATTCAGCATATCCAAAACTTCTGTCAGCAAAACTGTACCAGATTCAAAGACGACAATGCATTGGCTAGCTCCTGCTCTGATAGTGACTTTATGCAAGCAGCCAAGGACATGAATTAGTTTATTAAAAGCAGATTAAAACAGAGACATTTAGCACTTCATAGATAAACCTTATTGAGTTTATCTATGAAACACAAAAAATACATCAAAGTACGAAACACTCAGTCCCATCACTGAAGGAAGCCAAGAACTTCCAACATTGATCACAGGCTTTTGAATGTAATTAAAACATTTTACAGCTTTAAAACACATGCACTGAAGTTTGCATATACTACAGTTAAGCTAGCTGGTGTGCTGTGAGCATGTCTTACCATGTTGATCATTTATAAGCATCTAATTGTT